TGTCACTTGCTAGAAAATACTCGATTTAACGCCACTGGTAGAATTAGATACAAGTCCTATGCAGTAGTTAACAATTTAATGATTTCAGGATGGAAACATGTACATTTACAAATTGGCGGATGTTGTCAATACGACTGCCTGACTCTCACCGAATTAAGAACTTCAGAAAACATATTTAAATTCAGAATTTTGCTAGGTTACAATCTCATAATAGAAACGAGATTATCGAATGACAATAGTCTGTTTGCCAATTCCCGTAATTGACCCTGTAATTAGAGATCCCTTTTTTAGATGTCTCTCTTAGGAGGGACATACATTTTATTGACAATTGAGAGCTAACGGAAAGAGCAAATTTATCTGTGCGTAATGTGTGTAAACTTTAAGTTTTTAACCGGATTTTCGAAGGAAATATCGGTTATTGATTTGGGGATGTACGGCGGGCGGGCGGGCGGGCGGACGGGCTGTCTTGCGGACGGGCGGCTGCCAAACAGTGTCCCTTCAATAACATGAAAACGCTGTGATGATTTTTTTTCAAATTTAGATATGTTTTTTCTTGTGACTAAGTGAAGGTCAAGTTCAATTTTCACGATTTTAGTATTTCTCCTTTTAGAGTTATTGCCATTTTTAACATCCAAAAGTGGTATTTTTAAATATTTTCTCTTGTTATCATATTATGACTAAGCGTATGGTAAATGTCTTATCTCACAATAAAAATTGGAGTGACAGATTTATTTGAAAATTTTCTATTTCCTAAGTGGTGATGATTATAAGCTATATTATTAGACATTTTGAAGTTAATTACATTATTAATTATTATATATGTAATGTAAGAGTACTATGTTAAACCATAGTTCTGTTCACAATTATGCTTTTCATTATTAATTAGATCTGGAAAATATCTTAGCATATGATAATCATTGGAGTGACAGATTTATTTGAAAATTTTCTGTTTCCTGATAAGAGATCTGTAGGACTGTATATATAAAGTTTGAAATTTACTAGTAGGACTGTATAAATGAAATTTACTGTTCATTATTAGACATTTTGTAGATAATTAAGTCTCCCTAAACCATAAATATTCTTACCCCCACCCCCCTTCAATTTGAGAATGTGCTTTTATCTTGAAAACGGTCGAGATCCCCACCCCTAAACCATATATATTCTTGCATGGGACAATAAAACAAATCAAATGAAATATTGGGGGAGTCCCTGGGTTCACCCGCACCCCCTTCTTTTTGAAAACTTGTAAACGGTTAAGATCCCCACCCTGAAACCATATATATTCTTGTATGGGAAAATAAAACAAATCAAATGAAATAAAAGGCAAGTCCCCTGGGTCACCCCCACCCCCTCCTGTTTCAGAACTTGTAAACGGTCAAGATCCCCACCCCGAAACCATATATATTCTTGTATGGGACAATAAAACAAATCAAATGAAATATAGGGGAAGTCCAGGGGGTCAACCCACCCTCCTTCTTTATGAAAACTTGTAAACGGTCAAGATCCCCACCCCGAAACCATATATATTCTTGTATGGGACAATAATACAAATCAAATGAAATAAAAGGCGAGTCCCCTGGGGTCACCCCCACCCCCTCCTGTTAAAGAACTTGTAAACGGTCGAGATCTCCACCCCTAAACCATATATATTCTTGTATGGGACAATAAAACAAATCAAATGAAATATAGGGGAAGTCCATGGGGGTAACCCCCACCCCCCCTTCTTTTTGATAACTTGTAAACGGTCAAGATCCCCACCCAGAAATTATATATATTCTTGTATGGGACAATAAAACAAATCAAATGAAATAAAAGGTGAGTCCTCTGGGGTCACCCCCACCCCCTCCTGTTTCAGAACTTGTAAACGGTCAAGATCCCCACCCCGAAACCATATATATTCTTGTATGGGACAATAAAACAAATCAAATGAAATAAAAGGCGAGTCCCTTGGGGTCACCCCACCCCCTCCTGTTTAAGAGTTTGTAAACGGTCGAGATCCCCACCCCTAAACCATATATATTCTTGTATGGGACAAAAAAACAAATCATATGAAATAAAGGTCGAGTCCACTGGGGATCACACCCCCCCTTTGAGAACTTGTAAACGGTCGAGATCTCCACCCCTAAACCATATATATTCCTGTTTGTCATTTCAAAAAGATTTGAATGACATACAGGGTCAATCCATAGGCGTCACTTATGCATATCACAAACCAATTTGTACTGGACTTTGCCCAATGTCAGGCGACCATGGGAATGATGAATTATTGGAGCTTTGTTTGGGAGACTTCGTAACAGCATTCTGTTACAATTATTTCTTGTTACTGATAAGTTTTATAGATTTTGAAAAGACATTGTATTTATGATAAATAAAATTTTGGATTGTTTTCTTCTTTTCTTTGGTAAATTGTTTGAAGAATTTTGTGGCAAGTTTGTTTATTATTCTGTAAAAAGTAAATTTCTGAATGCTTTAAATTTTTTTTTGATGAAGTGAACTGCTTTAAACACTAAGCTTATATTGTCTATTAATAAACATATATTTAGATTTCTGACTTTTGGCCCAGTTTTCAAGTTTGTCCAAATTGGGGGCCAAAATTAAACTGTGTTTGATATCAACATAAATTGAATATATATAGGGTTCTTTGAAATGCTTAATCTAAACCGGTATTTCTTTTCATTATTAATAAGATAATACCACATTGAGGTCCAAAGGGTCCTAAATTAAACTTTTGTTTAATTTCATCAAAAATTGAATTCTTTGGTTCTTTGATATGCTGATTCTAACAATATTTGAGTGTTAAATCATATCTAATTTTAGAGAACTTAGTCATCACTGGTTGGTGTTATTATATTATTGATTATAATTTGAAAAATTGCATCATATCTTATTTTAGAGAACTATTTATCCAGTTTGAGTTTTTTCCCTTTGCACAGAAAATAATGGATAAAATTATCCTGTGTTTCATTTCAACATAAATTAAATATATATAGGGTTCTTTCAAAAGCTGAATCTAAACCTGCATTTAAATATTAGACTTTTGGGCCCAGTTTTCAAGTTTGTCCAAATCAGGGTCCAAAATTAAACTTTGTTTGATTCAACAAAAAATGAATTCATGGGGTTCTTTGAACTGCTGAATCTAACCATGCATTGAGAGATTTTGGATTGTGGGCTCCTTTATTAAATTGGTCCACATTGAGGTCCAAAGGGTCATAAATTAAACTTTTGTCTGATTTCATCAAAAATTGAATTCTTGGGTTCTTTGATATGCTGATTCTAGTATGTACATAGATTTTGGATATTGGACCATAATAGGTAAATGTCCAATTTCAAATATTTCAGTTCTTTGACCACATTCATTTTGTGTCACAAACCTTTGCTGTGTCAATTATTCAATCACAATCCAAATTCAGAGCTGTTTTAAGCTTAAATGTAGTGGCCATACTTGCTCGACTGTTCAGGGTTCGACCTCTGCAAGAAAATCCGGTTTGCTGTCTCTCTGACAGCCTCTTGTTACCAATATTTTGCTTTTTATGCCCCCGCCGTAACTTTATCTATTATTTATCAAAAGTATTATCTTGAAACAAATTTCCGTCTTTGTGAAAATATACTGACACTTAATTGTTACTTATAACTCAAAAAGCTTTATAAAGAAAAATCGTTACATGTTAATAAAATTATTTTGACGAACAAATATTGCAAATCAAATAATTCCGATAAAATAATATTTAGTTTAACAATATAATGACAATTTATGACCGAGCAGTTTGTCAGTGAAAGTCCAAAAATATCAGATTTATGAAAAATACTCTTTTTAAATAGATCCAAATGAAGATGCACAATTTACACAAATTATCACAGTGCTCCAAATCAAGGAGCAGACCGGGAACAAGTTCCTCAATTAAAACATACACAGGTTCTGGTTCCTAAGAACAGGCGGAACAAAAAGGTAGGGCCTAGATCCCATTAAATTACACGTTTCCGTATAAGTGCAACATGTCTATTTGTATTAAAGTCATGATATTTCTAGGCCTGTAAAATACAGGATTTAACACTCCTCTTCTTCTCCCGTTTCGAAAAAAAATATCCTTTTATTTTCCTATATCATTTCGATGGGAACATGCAAAGATTAACGTACCCTCAAAAAAGATCCTTGAATCTCCCTTTATGAATTTCCTTTTTTTTCTAGGGATTCTCGGAATTTATGTTTTATGTACTTGTTATGTATGCATTTTGTTTTCATTGTAATTAAAATCGGACTTCGATCTTGACTTTTGTTTTGTTGTTTTACATATCTCTGTGTATCTGCAAATTCGCTCGTATTTTCTTTTTTTCTTTTACTTATTTTTGTAGGAGGGATGGGGGAATTAAACACAGAATGTTCGTTAAATATTCGTTACTGTTCGTCAAACAAACAATCAATCAATCTAATACTCAATATGAAATATGCGTCTCTTTAAGTTATTCAAACTGTCAATCATTAAATCACACCACCTATCAATCAGCCAATCAAACAATCAATCAGTTCACCTAACGACCAACCAACCCATCAATATGAAGAATTTGTCAATTGATGTTATACAAGCAGTTTATCAACCAAGCAATCAACCAAAAAGCATGTTTGATTTACTACTACTAGAGGTGTTTAATGACCTTGACTACCGATGAGGGTCTCGCACGGTCGTGTTTGATTTAGAAAAATATGGAAGGACTTATATAATATCCAGTTGTTTGCTATACAACAATTTCGTAAAACAATTATTTTACATTTATATTAGTAGCAATGTTATTAAAGCCATTTATGTACCGAGTAATTTAATAATTAAATTCATACTTTTGAGATGATCCCTTATTTAAATGTCTTAACTCTAGACTCTCGACTCTCAATTGTCAATTGTAAACATTTATCTAACATGTCTATTATAGTATCTATATTAATTCAACAAAAGTTGTCAAAACACGAGTAAAATATCTATTAAACTTACAGTACTTTTTTATTATAGATTACGACTGCATTGATAAAATGAACCGTACTGTGGTTACGCAATGTCGACCAATAACAGATGACAAGTAAGTCACGACATGAATGTCTTATTTCAGAATACTGATGTTGCTCAAAATCCTAATAATAAATTAATAAGCAGTCAGTTAAGGTTGAAATTATCCATGTTATCTTTAGATTTTATTTTACTTTGGACTATATTTATTAACTGCAACAACATGTTATGATATTATTGTCTACAGGTGTCTTTTTTATGTAAATATGTTTACAATTGGTTATTATTACTGCTATATTGTTTTCCTTCTGAGAATTTTTTTTCAGTTTATATCTATGGATTTCTTTGGTTTATCTTTTAATTGTTTTGTTAAGTGTAGATTTATATTTATTAGTCGATACCTTTATCTTAATTTTATTACGACTTTTCATTGGACAATCTCGTACAATTTTATTTTTGTATTTTAAAATGTGAGCAATCTTGACGAAAATCAAATCAAGAAAAGCGCATTAGACGCCGCCGAAAGTAAATTGTATCTTAATAGACAACCACTGGGATGATGCGTTCGTGTCGGGCACAGAACGTGTAAACTATAAACACTCAAATAACAACAAACTAATTTGGGGAGGTAACAACTAAATGAACCAAAACTGAAGAGTTGCAAACTCATTTTTGTCTCGCCTGCGACGAGAGACATAGGTATTTCTATCCGGCAGCGGCAGCGGCGTAAACTATTTGTATAAAGCTTTATATTTCAGAAGGTAGAAGACCTGGATGCTTCATACCTTGTATGCAGATACCTTATGTTACGAAGTTTCCGTCTGTCATATGCCCATTGTCCTTGACCTCATTTTCATGGTTCAGTGATTGCTTAAAAAAAATTACAATTTTTTTGTCATGTGAATTTCTCACTTATTATGAGTAATAGGATAACTATATTTGGTATATGGGTTCCTTGCAATGTCTACATGTCCGTCAGACAGGGTTTACCTGACCTCGACCTCAATTCATGGATCAGTGATCAAGGTTAAAGTTACGTGATTAAGTCCGTTTCTCAGATACTACAAGCAGCAGGTCAACTATATGTGGTGTATGGAATGATTGTAAGGGGTACATGTCAGACTGGTAGGTTTCATCTGACCTTGACCTCATTTTCATGGTTCATTGATCATTGTTAATTTTTTTTTTTTTTTTTTATGTTTTTCAAGTACTGTAAGCAATAGGTCAACTATGTTTGGTGTATTGAATGATTATAAGGTGTACATGTCTGTCTAGCTGGTGTCATCTGACCCTGACTTCATTTTCATGGATCATTGGTCAATGTTAAGTTTTTGTATTTTGGTCTGTTTTTCAAGTACTATAATCAATAGGTCAACTATATTTGGTGTATGGAATGATTGTAAGGTGTACATGTCTGTCTAGCTGGTGTCATCTGACCTTGATCTTATTTTCATGGTTCATTGGTCAATGTTAAGTTTTTGTGTTTTGGTCTGTTTTTCAAATACCATAAGCAATGGGTCAACTATATTTCGTGTATGGAATAATTGTAAGGTGTACATGTCTGTGTGACAGTTATTATACGTGTAGTAAAACCTTTATCTTTAAGACTTTCAACATAAAATCAATGGTGCGTTAAACAGGCGAGACATTTCAGTGTGTGCACTCTTGTTCAACAATGCATACTATTTTGAACAGTAACGACGCAATGGTAGTAAAAAAGTTCAATATTTTCAACAGCGGTATCGATCTTGTGGTAGTAACAACGTACATCATGTGTGTCTGGAATTTCCATCATATCAGCTTGAGACCAAAAGTTTTTTAAAGTCAAAATATCAAAAGTGTTAGTGCACCAATGGTCGTCATATTATACGCTATCAATTTAGGCAATATCCTTCATCAAAGAACAGTCAAATCTAAAACACCTTCCTACTTAATGATCCCTATGTTCCAATCATAATTTATACCTTAACCCCATTTATGGCGAATAAATTATTTTAAGTACATACAGGTGTTGTAATAGCTCAGTATTGATGACTCCAAGTGTCAATCTTCTAAGTGCGCCAGTGCAAGTGCCAAATTTTTATACAATAAGGGTGCCCACATTATAAGCTCTTAATGTGTAAGCTAAAGGACTGAAATGCCGTGAACTTAATTCATTAACTTGAAATACAATTTTATTATATTAAATGTTTCAATGTAGGATAAGCCGTGTGTGACAAATATGTTGCAATTCCAGAAGAAAAAGTGTTCCAACTAAAGCGTTTTGTTAGTAAAAGAGCTTAAATAAACTATAGGAATTGTCATCTATTTCCAGGAATGAAGAGAGATGTGGGATAAACGCCACTGAGCCATCAATTCAACGACTAAAATAACCCCAAAAATTATTTAAGGTAGATAGGGGGTCTAAATTAAAATCCATAGAATTTTTGAATAATTTGTCAAAATGTAGTTTATATTGTTACGGTACGGGTGGGTGTGTCCCATAAGTAAAAGTATTTATGCAGGTTAACACACTGGTGACTATATTATTGGTAAATTCTAATATAGATCTGTCAACCCTGGTATTGAGTTGCAAACTATTTATCACTGGTAGCGTATCTGGCAAAATGATCAAGGCAATGGTAGCCTAGCAGAAAAAACAGCTAAGGCACTGGTTTAAATATGGAAGCTCAGAAACCCATTACATTGACTTACTTATTACATGTACAACAGATAACAAGATTTATTTAAGCTTTACAATTTATTCTATATAACACATTCAATACTCTTACAAGTATAAATCACATAAAAAAAACCACCAAAGCACTTTAGTTATAAAATATACAGAAACCCCCCTTTTTGGTACGTTAATCGTTTGTCAACATCGTAGTAAACGTAGTAAAACATCTGGGTCAATCATGGTTTGGTCCATTTATCCAACATTGTCCAACTGGGATGCATACAATATCAAAGGTACGGTGTATTTACGGGTTGCATCGACTGCAGCGTATTTGGTTTGCTCTGGTAATTCCATTGGTATCAGGAGTGAACACCCTGGTAGCGGACCGCAGTCTCCTTGAAGACTGATGTGCACTCGCTTTTATACATCTGTCCCACCAAAGTCTCTTGCCCCTATGGTGAATGTGGGCAAATAATGTAATGCTGATTGGATGCTGATCTCGGGTCATTAGGTCACTGACGTCAATAAACTTGCTGATGCAAATGGCGGCGATTGCGAATGTTGAAATTCTGTAAAGTCGGAAAATGAACAAACTAAGCTTACTCGTACCATGTATGGGCCCCGGTTACAATACTGAGGCCTTACGGAAATAAAATAGAAAGGTAATAAAGCGGGAACGTGTGAAATAAGGATAAACAGGAGTTGGGAACCGTCGTTCAGTCAGGGGACCCCTGGTCAAACAGAAGGCGAACTCTATATCATTATTCCCAGAGACCTTACAAACAATATTTACATACAATAAGAATAAAAGTATATGTTATGTTCATCAAATGTCTTTATATACGCGTTGGCTAACAGTAAACGACGAACGTGAAAGTAGAAGTTAGTGTTTACTGAGTAGCCCGAAAAAGTCGTATGTACAAACCTACAGCTTACCCCCTAAACCGTAACACTACCCCCTACCCAGAAAAACCGTAACAATATCATGCTTTTTCAAAAATAACATAAAAAGTAAGGGTCACCGGGCTTTTTTTTCACGCTACAGGTTGTGCAAAATTGTCAGATTTTGTATAGATTATGCATGGAAAGCCCAATTTTGTGTGATAAAAAGAAAACTACACCATAGAATTTTAAGATAGAATATGAGAAGATAGCTCTAATAATATGCTTTCAGATAAGAAAAAGAAAAAAATGGGTCACCGGACTCGTTTTCTTGCTACATTATAAAATAGGTAAATTCACAACACATTCTATTATAAAAGTTACTTTATCTGAGTTATCTCCCCTTTTGTGGCAAAGTTGAGATAAAATGAATCAAACACAGATATTCTGTTTTTTGTAAAATACAGCCGTAAAATATGATAAAACAAATAATTTTCTATATTAACATAAATTCTTACACATGAAAATTACATACTACTCTCGAAATTTGCACATTTCATTAAAGATCTAGATCGATTGTTATCTGCTATTTCGAATCCAAGATGGAGGAAGACACCCCAGCTACCTTAAAGGGCACTATATAGTCTGCAACAATTTACAGGTGTCCACACTATACATGCTATATGTCAAACTCTAAATTGTCCTGATTCTATTAAAACTGTAAAAGGTTTAACATTAACCAAACAAAGTTCTACCAATAAATCAAAACTCGCCCAAAAAACGAAAAACATTAAGATATGACATCAGACAACTACAGACGAGGCTCATGACATGGAGCAGGCACATTATTAGTAGTGGGGTCAAGGAAGTTCTTTTAGAGCCTGCGAAATTTATTTCGCGAAAGCGAGACATAGCGTTTTTAGTCATCAATAACTTTGTCAAACCTTCCTGGAATTTTGTGAAACTTAGACAGAAGCTTGTTTATGACCAAAATACAGTATTCAGAGCAAAATTTTGAAAATATTTATTTTCATTTTTTCCGTATTTTACTGTTAAATGGACTTAGTTATTTTTACAGTTATCATTCAGATTCAGTCTGAGGTTAAAGTTTTTCTGTCATCAATAACTTTGTCAAACCTTCATGGAATTTTATGAAATTTGGACAGAAGCTTGTTTATGATCAAAATACAGTATCCAGAGCAAAATTTTAAAAATATTTATTTTCATTTTTCCATATTTTAATGATAAATTTACTTAGTTTTTTTTAACTGTTAACAAGTAGATAGAGTCTGAGGTTAAAGTTTGTTACACATCAAATTCTTTGTCAAACCTTCATAGAATTTTATGAAACTTTTTTATGATTAAGAGATAATTTCTGATGCAAAATTTTGAAAATATATTTTCATTTCAGTATTTTTCTGATAAATGGACTTACTTTATTTACAGTTAACATTTACAGACAGTTTGGGATTAAATTTTTTTGACATGATAAGTTTGTAAACCTTCATTGATTGTTATGAAACATGGACAGAAGCTAATCTTCAAGACCAAGAAATAGCATCTAAAGAAAAAGTTTGATTGTTTTTTTAAATTCTGTATTTTACTGATAAATGGACTCATTTTTTAAGTCAACATTACACTTTTACGCTGACAGCAGCAATCGTAGGCGAGACAAAGGTTTCCGCGCAACCCATTACGATTTTTTTCTTAGATCTAAACCTTTCCCCTTTTTGACCTCGATCAGTTGATTAACAAACTTCTTTAAAAAATATACATTATAAAACAGCCCATAAAAAGCACTTAGCTTACAAAATAAAGTAATAATAGGTACATGTAACAAAATACAAACTAAATACCAAATTTTACCTTATGCATAAATGAACTATGGAGATGTGGTATGATTGCCAATTAGACAAGTATCCAACAAAGTCCAAAATGAAGCGGATTTAAGCAACTACATATCACTGTTCGGCCATCAACAATGTACAAACCTTCTCGTATAGGCAGCTATAAAAGACTATGACATGACAAATTGTGAAACAATTCAACCGAAAAAACCAGCGGCATATAATAATTCATGACAAAACAATAAACGGAAAAAATTATGATAGACAGCAACCTCTGAATTACAGGCACCTGACTTAGGACAGCCACGTATAGAATTTGGCGGGGTTAAATATGTATTTTAGCGCTAAAATATACCCTAACCTGGGACAGTGTAACATCACAACAAAAAAACACAGTGTAAAAATCAGATGGAAATTGCTTGATCCATCGGATCGGCTCGATGCACAATAAATTCACACAACTTACATAAAGACAAAAGACTCGAAGTACCGATCTAAGAGTACTCGCAGTTGCCGAGAGGTAGTTCTAGGAAAAAATAACTAATACATAAATCATGTTCCCCCAGATTGAAGTATCAATCAGTACGTATCTAACGGATATATAGTAAAAACATCCCAAGCTGTACGAAAAAGGCATTACATTGTTTAAAGCCCAAAGATAAATACACGACAGGATAAAGGACCAAATGTTTACCTAAATATACAGCAATATAATAGTTAAATTGTGTTTCAATGTATTAAAAAAAACAAAATTAATGTTTTTACAGATAACGGAAATGTGCAAAGATCTTACTACGGTGTTAAATTAATATCTTTTAAGAATAAGTTTATTCAAAGAATCAATGAGTATACATGAACCGTAAAAATTCGGATATAATGTCCTGTTGTTGATAACAATTCTACGAGTACAGCCAATCTTTTGTACTGGCTATTTAAATATGTAAAACTTTTGGAGTTTAAACTCATTTGATTTTTTTCCTGGTCAAGTGAGGCTTTTTTTTATACAGGGGTCCCTAAGTATACAACCTGGGCTGCTTATGAATTATATATCAGGAATAGCTTGAATACACTTATTTAAAAAAAAAGGACAGCTAAACTTCAAAACCAAATTCTAAAACTATGAAAGAAATAAGTATATAAACTCATCGTACATACCAGGCTTAACATTTTGTACGCCAGACGCGCTTTTCATCTACAAAAGACTCATCAATGACGCTCGAATCAAATAAAATACGAAGTTGAAGAGCAATGAGGTACCAAAATTCCGAAAAGTTCTGCCAAATACAGCTTATTATAAGTAATATATTCCGTGGGTGGGGACCTAGTACTAATATTTCAAACGGAATGGACAAAAATGTCATATTCCTGACTTGGAACAAGCATTTTCCAAAGAAAATGGCAGGTTAAACCTGGTTTATAGCTAGCTCAATGTTCGTCTTGTATGACAGAGTTAGATAGTTCCGTTATATTGACAAAATTGGGTGAGCAACCCAAACAGACATAAAAGCGTTAAGCAACGATATATTGTTATGCTTTACAAATACAGAACTTCACAAAACCTCTGTCCAAATTACTATCTTCTTTTTGGCCTATAGAGATACTGGGAAACTATTTGCGCATGTTATAGGGTGAATTAGAGGTGGCTACTAAACATCTCAAAGATCTATTAGAGTACATACAATCTAAGTTTTCCTCCTCATGCAATAGTGTGAAAGATTTGTGTTTTCTGCCCTTTACACGTGTCAAGTATTCATCATTCAAAACCTAAAGTCAGATCGAAAGATTGAGTTCAGATTTGATTCATAAAAAGACAACGTCTGTACAACATTAGGAACACGGATATGTTGCTTATTTTAAACTGGCACAACGTGATCGTGAGGACGAACGATAAAAATCGAATTTATACAAGGTATTAGGTCACGAATCGGTTAACCAGCACAACTCGCGAGTGTTGTTTTCCCGGTCTTTAATTCGTAGATTTAAGAAAAGTAGTCGGATATATCCATAATCGGTAGAACTTCAATTCATTGAACTTTAAATTGAGTCTTGATTTTCATTGCAGGTAATGCATTTATCGCCTATTACCATGATTACTGCTATTAGCCTTGTCCACTTACTCAGTATTGATCCAATTTTAAGTTTTTCATTTATATCACATGTTTTTTTTTTTATTTTGATATATTACAGAGACACCAGTAGTGAAAGACCTGTTAACATAGATATAATTCCATTGGAAGACAATGTTTTTTTTCTAGGTAGGTAAATGCATTCAAATTTTAAACTGTACAAACTTAATTGTATTCATTCGTAGTTGTGTGTAAACATATATATTAACATAAACTTGAAAAGTAAAAAATTACAATTGATTGAATATCATAGATAAGTATCATCTTTAAAAAAGTGCACGGAAATGTTCCAAAATAAACATATAAAGCAAAAATAAAATTAAGTTTGTATCGAAATTGTAGAGCATGTCATTATTTGCATCTGTTATGGCGGGTTTCTTTTCGTGCAAATGACCGAAAACAATAAGTATATTGTCAGGAAGACATTACATTTTATGATAAGAACTTTCGTTTAATTTCTATATTTACGGTTGCTTGTTGTAAAAAATTATTAAATCAAGAACGAAGATACAACCAGGACATCATTCGGAATACTTGTTGTGAAGGACGAATATTATTGTAATACATCGTATTTGTTACTTAGCGGACTGTGTCACACATGATTGAAAGCAAATTCACACAAGTTCCATCAGGTCAACGTGAATTTGTTCTGATACCGAATATTTCCAAACGAAAAATAAAATCATGTTTCTATTTGTTGAATATTATTATTATATAGTATGACAGACTTACGATTTTTCGTCGACAAAAGAAATCTAGCTTTTACGTATCCTTTTCTAAATTATGTTTAGTACCCTGGAAGAAAAATGCAGCAATGGTAGTAGTAGTTCTTATATTTTGTAAGTTGTATTTATTTTTCTATTATAACAGATACATGTACGTATTATAAACAACGAAGAGCACAATATTGTGAATTAAATGATAATCTGAAAAATACTATTTGTATGTTTTTAAAAGCTAATATGACGACATAGTCATCGGAGCTCTTAGTTAAAAAACTGAAATAAAAAAAAAATTACTGCTGAGACTTGCAAATTTTATCGACCGATTGAGAACCAATATGAAACATATGTTCCGACCCAAAATTATACAAACTAATATGTCATTCGTGTCAATTACCCAATATGCCTTCTCTTTATATTTATTGAGAACGATTGAACACAAACGGGGAAACCCAATTATTTTTATATAAACATGGACAAGAAATCTTATCAAAGCGACCTAGAGAAAAGACAACATTGTAATGATTCAAGTCTTATATGTTTGTTTTTGTTAATTTATTTTTTCGGTTTTTGTATAAAAATAAAAAGGTGTGGTACGATTGCCAATGATAGAACTCTCCATCAGAGACCAAACGTTAACCACTATAGATCAACGTACGGCCTTCAACAATGAGCAAAACCCAAAACCAGATAGTAATCTATAAAATTCTCCGAAATGGGAAAGTGGTGTAACAGTACAACATAAGAACAAACTGTAAAAATCCTTTGAAAAGGGCTTAACTCAGACTTAAAAAATACAAACGATCTTTACAAAAACACACAAAAGACACAAAGTAGAGATCTGAGAGTAATCGCTGTCACTGAAAGCTTGTTCAAAGCCAATATAAACTAATAAATCATGTATCTTTGACATAATTGTTTTTATTTGTTTTTATTTTTCATTTCGTTTGTTGCTTTTGTTTTTGTTTTTGTTTTTATTTGTTTTATGTTCAATTGATTTGTTTGATTTTTCTCATGGTTCAACCTCAATTACACAAGAGAAAACATATTTCAAAATGTATGTATCCAATCATGACCAAATCAGAATGGTATATCTCTAAGGGTATCACACCTACGATGAATAAGTATTATCCAAATAGATATGTACATGTAGTGGGAAATACGATAAATATCTTATAATGCAAATAACTAAAATATATCTAGATAGAAATATACACTCTCCAACCGTAGTCAGGTGCCCATACTTCAACTGGTGAAAATAAATGTCAGCTAGATATGGCATCGAACAGCCAAAAGTAGCAAAATAAGATCTGTCAACTAAATTAAAAGTTACATATGTGAACTGCTACTGCCTTAAAGGTCTGTTTGGAAATTTTCCTTGCAAGGTAATTTTATGATCGTCAGTGGTGTTTTTTTTTGTGCAAATTGTAACGATTTGGACAGTTTTGAAATTATGATATAAGTTTCTCCTGAAAGACACTTTTTTTGTTCATTTTGATTTCTGTAAAAGATAAGGTCTCTTATCGGACATTGCATGTCCATCAACGATAGCTGGTCTTGCTACTACTTGAAGAAAATAAAGGTAAACACATACTTAAAATACTATAATAACGTATAAGCACTGTTTAGATAAAGTTTCATGAAAGTCTACAGTAGAAAATACATCATATACTTAATGTTACTTCCAAGCTTGGCCATAAACACCCTTAGAAGTGTATATTTTTACAGTTTAAGGTTTGTGACAAAAAGGGTTTTCCTTTCAATTTGATCAATGCCATTTTAAAATAAATGGGACAAAAGGGTCGAAAGAAGTCAATAATTATTATTAATATTAATGTAATTAACTATTTATGATAAGTCGAATATGTATGTCTTTTTATGTTTCTCCCTTTCTAAAAAAAGGTCATCAAAGATACCAGGCTAATAAATTTGTACGACAGACGCGCATTCCGCGTACAAAAGACTCATCATTTCCGCTGGAATAAAAAAAAAAAGATAGAAGACCAAATATATTACGAAGTTGAAGAGCATTAGGGGCATAAAAATCCGAAAGGTTTTGCCAAATACTACTGGTCTATTTATGGGGTAGAACATCCTTATTATTTCGAAATATGGGAAGTGTTGTAAACAGTTAATGTATTACTACTATGATCATATCAATGATAATTCATGACAACACAGAAGTTTTGACTACCTGGATGGTGATACCCTCGGTGAGGAAACCTCAACTCGACTCAGTGTTTTTAAAAAACTTGTTAAAGATACCAGGCTAATAATTTTGTACGCAAGACGGCGTTTCATCTACAAAAGACTCATCAGTGACACTCGAATGAAATAAAGTTTTTTTGATGGGATTTGGTTTAGGTTTCTTAATTAAAGGATTAACTAGGGAAAAGAGTAATGGACGGTTAGTAAAATCGAAACAGTATGTTTGTTTCCATTCCTTTCTTATAGTTCTTAGAATAACTTGATAAACTTATAACCCATACGCTAAATGTATTTCTGATTATTAACTAGAAATTTTAAATGATTACTTTCCTTTCATCAAAAACAAATAATTCAATAAGAAACATTAACAAACAACAAATTATTGATGCATTAAGCGGTAAGCAAATTTCCTCAGTAAAATTTAACTTACCTTTCCAAATTTGTCGTAGATTTGACTGTCTTCGAGAAATACGATTTCCAGCATATTACCAGGTCAAAAATATGACTGTGTGATGCACAAGAAGGCTTTTTGATTACAATGTAACAGCATCATCACCTTCTCTATATTAATGTGAATAAAAAGAGATATTGGTTGTATATCAACAAGACTCATACCCAAAGACGGAAACACCAATAAAAAAAAATCTGGATAAGGATCTGCGTACACTAATGGTAAACCTGAGATCACACCCGGTTTATGTTAAAGATGCTCAGTCGTCCGTGTAGTGTTTTGTTTACTGTTGTTTGTCTTTTCCACGTTATTCATTTTGGACATGCATGTTAATGTCTGTTTTCTACCTCTTCATTATTTAAATGTACGCCTTGGCATCTTATACAACCATTATGGTATTTGGTGGTCTCTATTGTACATTGTTGTCCAGTATAAGGTGATATTTTATTTTAGTATATTGAATTTGCAAAGCTTCTCATTATAATGTATTTTTAATGTGTAACTTTGATTTTTTCGAAATACTAAGGATTTTCTACCCAAGGAATAGAGTACCTTAGCTGTATTTGTCAACACCTTTCGTAATTGTGGTTTTCTAATGCTTTAACTTTGTTCTTATTTGACCGTTTTATTCTTTTTTATTAGCGTCAGTAATTAGTCTTTTGTAGAAGAAACGCGCGTCTGGCATACACAATTTTAAACCTGGTATCTATGAGTTTATCGATAGTATTTGTTGTTAACTTTTTAAACGAGAAACAGTTTTTACTTCTACGGTAATATAGATTTTGTAAAACTAAGATGTGTACATCTAAGCATAAGAAATCCAACCAATATCAATATTGTTCTATAAAAACGCCAAAGAGATATACATGTATGTGTTTTTAATCGGTTTCGATATTTAAAAAAACACTTTATTGAGACATTTGCAGGAACAGACAATTTGAAATACTAAGACAATTAAACAAAAACAATTTGCTTTTGCCTATTGTATAGCTTTAATCAATGCATATTTTTTGAATATTTATTAAATGCTTTTTATTTCATTCACTAGGTACACGTTTGGTCTTAATGCTCGTTTTATTTAGAACTTTGATAAAAAGGTTGATATTGAGACATTGTTGTAGAGGTATGTAAAAATCAAGTCAGCCATTTTATGTTATTGTATAATGGGAGCACATACAACAGCTTGTTGTATTGGTTGTTTTTTTGTTACTATATTTAATAGAAAAATTTAACTATGTGTGTGTGTTATTTGCAACGTCAAAATTATTTGCATAATGATTTATTAGACAACAATCCTACAATTTACAATAAAAGTTCAGTAAAACGACAAATCTTGAGGTCAACGTTCATACACCGCATGCCAACTTCTGTCTCCAGAACTAATCACAGAATATAATGACACACCATGACGAGATACTTTGCTTAAAACAAGTTTTACTCATTGTTGAAGGTCGCATAACACCCTATATTTGTTTTGTCCGTATGTATGTGATGGACTGTTGTCTAATTGGCAATCGTACGATTTATTCTTATTTTGTATACAAATATATGACATTATTTTATTGGTTTACAAAAGATGCAGACTTTCATATTTCCACCACCAGTGCAACCCTAAACAACATAAAACGAAACAACAACAGAATCAATCTCTTATATACTATTTTCTTTAACTTTTTGAAATTCAAATTTTGATGGCGCGGATTTAATACAGATTATATTCAATATATCATCAAGTAGAAAAGTCTATGTTGTCTGAATGGATCAAAGCTATTCGGTCATGCATTCAGAAGCGCATTCAGAAACTACGATGTACTATGAGCACAAGGGTTTCTAGCCAGTCAAAAACCCGGAGGTTGTGGATGCTTTATCCTCTTTGCATGACAAATATGTCGTTGTTCCAGCAGATAAAGCCTCCAATAATATAAAATATTGTCTTCGTATGTAAAACCCATTATTTGCAATGTCTCACAAAAGAGCTTGGAATAAACAGCACAACTGGTAATCCTACATATTCTATAACATCATTTACAAAGGATTAAATTTTACAAAACTTCACAAAACTCCTTATAAAGAACGATACATAGCTGGGTCATCAAGATCTTCGACTAAACATCTTTCTAAAGTGCTGACTACTATTCTTTCTACAGTAAAAGATGGCCTTCAAAAATATTGCGATGAGATATATTCAACCAGTAGTGTCAATCAGATGTGGATTCTAAAAAATTCTAAAAAGATCTACTGCTAAATCTTAGATCACAATCTCTGCAATTTTGCAGCAACATTAAAACCTTTGATTTTTCTACGCTTTACATTACTATTCCCCATGCTCAATTGAAAGATCGACTTCACCATCTCATTAAACAGAGCTTTTTCTATAAAAATGGGAATCGTAGATACAAATTTCTTGTTTTGGGTTATAACAATTCTTATTTTGTGAAGAACCACACTGATTCTATCAGAAAATACACTGAATATGATATTATCAAAATGGTGGACCTTTTATTCGACAATATATTTGTTGAGTTTGGAGGATTGATATTTCAACAGATAGCCGGTATTCCAATGGGTACTAATTGTGCACCCCTTCTGGCCGATTTGTTTTTGTACTCGTATGAAGCAGAATTCATTCAGAACCTTCCAAAAGACAAAAAGAAAAAAGCACCTTACGAAATTCTTTAATTTTACTTTCAGATATATTGATGATGTCCTATCACTGAATAACCCATTTTTTGGCCAGTGCTTGCATCTCATATATCCCAGTGAACTTGAAATTAAGAATACTACTGATACTAGAAGGACTGCTTCATACCTTGATCTTTTCCTCAATATTGACACAGATGGACGACTTCACACTTAAATCTATGACAAACGGGATGATTTCAACTTCCCAATTATCAGTTTCCCATTTCTCAGCAGTAACATACCCTCTGCTCAATCGTATGGTGTTTACATATCTCAATTGATACGCTATGCTCGTGCATGAACACATTATACGGACTTCATATACAGGAGTGTGCTTCTTACGCAGAAACTGCTCCAACAAAGTTATGAGGAGGATAGATTAAAACTGACACTCCGTAAATTTTATGGACACCATCACGAATTGGCTGATTTATACCATGTGTCTCTGTCTAAACTAACCAACGACATTTTTGCCACTTCTTAGATTGTGGTTTACCATCTACGTCGTCTGTCTGCTAAGTACCGAACGTGACCTATTCCCAAATATGACTGTTTTGCTTAGTGTGAATTCGCATTGCTATACGACATGTCTCGGTATTTATACATCCAACACTCATGTATTTAGTTATGATGTTTCTTTTGTAATTACGGTTTGATATTGTGTTATGTCTTATCGTTTGTGGTTTGAATTCTGTATTTTCGGTACATTTCACATATGTCTTTTTTGTCAGTATAGTCGAGTTAATTTCCATTTTCCATGGACATGATGGATATAGTATTGTGTTAGTCCCAAAAAATATGATCGTCACAGCATTAAATTGTAATAGCCTTTCAAGACCGTCATAATCATGATAATTATTTGGTCTAGTATTGTGAAAATAATTATGAATTTTTGGATCTCATTCCATATAATTGTATGAATTTCAAGATTATATACACGTCACAAAAATACGTCACTGTTTGTGGTGTCCGTTGTTATTCTGTGGTTAACATGTTGTTATGTACTATTATATTATTTATTTATGCATTTCTCTTTGTTGAGTGTTGTTGCGTTTGTTTGTACTGTATTCCTGTCACGTAGTTTTGTCATTTTAGCGATATATATTTTTTTAACATTGCCATATAAGCGGGAGGTTTGGCTAGCCATAAAACCAGGTTCAACCCACCATTTTTTCTTAAAATGTCCTGTACCAAGTCAGGAATATTGCAGTTGTTATCAAGTAGTCCGTTTCTATGCATGTTGGCGTTTGTTTATGTTGCAGTTTAGTGTTTTTGTTGTTCCGTTGTTTTCCTCATATAGTTGATGTGTTTCCCTAGGTTTTAGTTTGTAACCCGGATTTGTTTTTTCTTAATCGATAAATGACTTTTCATGCGAATTGTCACCATTTAAGGAGGTCATGGCTAACATAGTAACTTTCATCATTATAACTGGACTTCAAAGAGCATAAAGTGCATATTCATTGGTCGGTTCTACATATTTGTTTTATATTAAGGAGGGGGTGTCAATGATAAAGTTTTGAAAATAAGTTGATAATGAAGAAATTCATGCAATATTTGGCAAAATCTTAAATAAATACTTGAAAGTGTGCGCAATATTATTATTTACCTCACATGATGAGATAGTCACTTGTCGAAATGCGCATCTGGTGAAGTAAGATTGGTACCGTTCATATATTAATGATAGTATTTATATATATATATACATATGCATCATTTAATAGTATATGCAAAAACTGTATTTACAGAATATATATGTTAAATATAGATGTTGGTTATATATACTAAAAGAATTTCAAAGAGTTCTAAAAATAACTATGTTTCAAAAAAAAACTTCACCCTTAAAGAAGTTTTGACTTGATAAATAGTTTCTCAGAAACAGGTTTGATACATACTGATTTGTTCTGCAGTACACGTTCCTATTGTTACCATTCGGTGGATAGTTCTCTATCGTACAAAACTGATCTTAAACGAATTGGCTATACTCATTAGGAGCATTCGGACTGGATGCTAAATAAAGAGACAACAATAGTTTTTCGATAAACAACACTGTTTAATCTATTAAAATTTAAAAAAAAAACCCAAAGAGAACAGACATAATGGACTCGTAAAAACTCCAAATAAAATTGAGAATGGTGCATTGAAGAGGTCAGTCTCTCAAGATATGCATGCATCAACCGCCATGCAAATCCAGACTCACGACTAGGGAAAGTACATCCTCGGTAAATTTACAGATCAGACAACTATAACAATGTCTTCAGAACTCAGACAACGACAATACATCTCTCAGAAGTGGGACAACTAATACATTGTATTGGTCAGCTAAATCGTAATGCTCAGAGGTATTTTTATAGTCGGTTAAATGCATTTGGAGAACATTTGTTTCGTTAGGAACACAATATTGGTAATACAGTCCGTATAATGTGAGCACAAACGCTCGTAGCCTGTTATGTCTGATATATAAATGGCTTACTACGATGGGACATTGGGAATGCTATTTAGAATCTTATATTCATTTTAGAGCTATTCCATCAACACTTATCGTGTGGACTTAAATATCGATCAACTGTTGTAACTTAGTTGAAGAAAAAAAAAATTCACTCATTTAAATAGATATAAGAAGATGTGGTATGAGTGCCAATGAGACAACTCTCCATCCAAGTCAAAATTTATAAAAGTAAACCATTATAGGTCAAAGTACGGTCTTCAACACGGAGTCTTGGCTCACACCGAACAGCAAGCTATAAAGGGCCCCAAAAATTACTAGTGTAAAACCATTCAAACGGGAAAACCAACGGTCTAATCTATATAAAAAACGAGAAACGAGAAACACTTATGAACCACATCAACAAACGACAACTACTGAACATCAGAATCCTGACTTAGGACAGGTGCAAACAAATGCAGCGGGTTTAAACGTTTTAATGGTACCAACCTTCACCCTTATCTGAAACAATAGTGTAACATCACAACATAGAAAGACACTCTATAAACTATCAATTGAAATGGCTTGACTCAATCAAAAGACATATTAACACCAGTGAACATACACTGAACAAATAAATTTGATCTATGATACAATGTAAATACAAAATAAATAAACTAAGGGAAGAATAATAAAAGTAACATGTTATACAGTACAACCTGTGACTTCCTCTTAGTTATGTCCACCCTCTTGTATGGTCACCATCGAATGGTGGCCATTTATTGGGGTATTCAATCTTGAGATGTTGGCCATTTATTGTGGTCATAAAACATAGATTGATGTTTTATCTAATTATGTTACCTGTTGAAATCAATCAGGGTTGAAGTTTTCAGCTTGTATGTTTCATTAAAATTTACCTGTACAGGTAACTTAGGTTTCTTCTCAAATTGACATTTCACCTTTTCTTGAAAATGTAGAATAGAATGTTGTTTTAATCTTTGTTAATTCATATCATTTGTTGATTTTTCTGTCTATTTTCCTTTTTTTCTAATGTTTTAATTTTATTATGTTATTTTTTTGCTTGTTTTTTTCTTCTTATTTTTCTATTTTCTTCTATGAAAGAATATTGAGTGGAAATGACAAAAATTCAAAGATAAGTTATTGACTAGCATTTGAAAACAAAACAGAATCCTTTAAATAATTATTTTTTCAGTAAAAAAAATTATTGTACATGATGTACATGGTATTCAATTGTTCGTTTGCATTATTAAATGAATTATTATTAATTATAACTTATAACCATGCAAATGATGTTTAAAGGAACCATGAAGCAAGTAATTTAACAAGCCTGTTTTTTTAACAAATTAGAATTATCAATGTCATGAATATCAATCCTTTTACAATAAATTTTGTTAAAAAAGTTGTACAATCTATTATCATGATTATTATTCAGGAAAACTACAAATATTCATTATATGGTATAGGAATATCATTTATATGGTATAGGAAAAAACTATTTTTGTTTATCTTTGATATTTTTCAAATCTCAAATATGTCAAAACTGGAGTTGTGCATGAAGAACCACTAAAGAGACTTAAATTTTTCAAATGGCTACCTAGTTATCATCAAATTTTGATAAATTCTAATCATAATGCTAATCAAAATAAAAAAAATTCTTATCTCTGAATAAAGTAAATCTTATGAAAAGGAATAATTTAAAGAAAAAATTGTCTTGCTTTTTGAAACAATTGTAAACTTATCAAATATGTTATCTTCAGTTTGACTAATTTTGTCAGTTAACATGCAAAATTTGTCTCCAGAAAAAATAAAGTACACTTCTATATAGATCGTGACATTTTTATGGTCTATTAATTAAATCACTTTTTGTTTCTGTGTATTATATTGTCGAAACTGCAGGACTGGCATTTTATGATACATATTCTTGGGTATACATTTGCAAAGAATATTTCACCCTAACTCAGGCCTTTTAGATAAAGCTAATAATTGCAGGGACTTGAATGAATTAGATTCTTTAACAATGTTTAAAGTGCTTGATTACAAATGAATTTTAAGGAAAAAAATAAGAACATTTTTGAAAATAAAATAAAAACTTATGATGAAAACAGTAAACTCAAATGCTTCACTAGGTAAAGAATTAGTGGTCATAATTTTGAAATAGAAAAAGGTGGATAAAAATTCCTATAAACATGATAAAGGATAGAATTGTTTGTAAAATTGACATAACAACTTAGAGATAATCTATTTAAAAATTGTTTACCTTCTCATAATAATGTCTCTGACCAGTTTATGAATAAAATCTTGAATCTTATAAATAAAATCTTAACCAAGAAAAAAAAAGTAAAAGAAATGCTAAACCTCTATAACATGGAACATGTTTAAAATATTGGCTCCTTTATAAAAAAAAGTCATTAGAACTGAGGGCAGAAACCTATTATTTTTTTTCCATGTGTTTTGATTTCTTTTAGAATTGTTATTTCTTTGCATTTTAATGTTTGTTTTTGTTGTTTTTTGTCAGAAACTTGATGAAATTGTAATATGTTTATATGACAAGAAAAATATTATCAAATTTTTCTATAATGAATATTTTGAATATACATGTATCTATTTAATAAAGAAATAATGAATTGCCTAAATTTTATTTAAAATAATTCCTAAAGATAATCTTAAAAATTTGTTAAACAATGTTAAATGCAGTAAGTATAAACAATTTTGATTTTAGAAAATTAATTTGAGAAACACCTTTTCAATAGAAAAAGGCAGGCGTTGTGCGTTTGCATAATATTAGAAGATGATATTCATTTATTATTCACTTGCCAAAAAATACATGTAAAAAATAACTTAAATTGATAGAATACTCAAAAGGTATAACATCAAAACAAAGTCATGAGAAAATTTTTTCAAAAAAAAAAGTTAGGAAGCTATATGTTCAACTAGTTTTATTATTTCATTTTATTTTAGAATTTTCTTGTCATAATCACAGTTATTAAATTTGACAAACACATATATTTTACCTGAGACACTTTACCTGTAAGTTTTATAATTTTAACACTTCAATTCAGTAATGATTTCCCTTTATCCTTGACTAGTTTTTGATTAATACCTTGTGTATTAATTAAGCAACAGGAGGTATAATGATGGACATTTAGGGCCATCATGGTGACCATATATTTTATGGCCACCATTAATAAGACAATGTCACAGGTAGTACTGTACCGCTGTGAAATGTTAAACAATTTAAGAAAAACAATATGCTTGAACAAAAATATCAGCCATTTGCAATTACTTTAAACACAGGTAAATGAAAATAATTTTGTTGTTAGGTATACGTGTACAGTTCAAATGGAGAAAGGAAATATTTTTACAAAATAAATAATTTTGATGTTCATAGTACGAAGAAGTGAAAATTTATAGTATTACCAAAAAACTTCTCAAAGCTGGTATATAGACCAGATATAACCCTGAATAAGTAAACATTAAATAACAAAAAAGCATTACAGTTAGTATCAACAGGTCAAATAAACAAGAAAGTACGATTTGAGAGTACTCGCAGTTACTGACAGCTAGTTAAAAGCCAAAAACAATTAATAATAAAAAATCATGCATCAGAGACTGAAATCAACTAAAACACATCCCAGGGATTTTGTATTTTAACATCATGGACAGTCAAAGAAGACATGAAAGTTCATTTGAGAAATAACATCCTACCAATGTGTAAATACCATGAGTAGTCTATCCTGAAGGGGGCGTCTGCGTTCCTTATACATTATTTAATTTTTTGTCCACCCGGAAACTGAAGTGCATCTATTGATTGGTAATCAATTGTAATTATTAATACACTGTTTCATTTGTATACAGTAAAAGTAATAGTGTACTGCAATTGGTATTCCTTACCTTATTTGTTTCTTTTATCTACAATCTAGCAATCCTTCACTAGCTTATTCCTTTGTTTATAGTGTATTTTATCGATGAGCAAGCAGGTGAAATCAAACTATACGAAGGAGAGGAGTTTTGTTTAAAATACCAGACGTCACGTTGGAAATATGATGTAAAGATCTACAAACAGTTACAGAACTCGATTACTGTTCCTGTTCATCATTATATTATCAAGACATATGTGACAACTGAAGATTCTGGATGGTATCATGCAGAATGTCATGGCGTTAAAAGTCAATATACTTGGTTGACAGTTCAACGTAAGTTAGTTATATGTCTAACAGAAATTGTGCTGATTTCCCATTTTGTTTAACGTAATAGAATGCAACTATTCTTTATTTATGCATCAACGTCTATACAAGATAATAGGTAAAATGTATAGCTTCAGAATTGCATGTTCTTATATTTATGGTTAGGAGGATTTAGTATCGTATTGACCTCAACCAAAGCCTAAATTGTTATATTAATAATCAACAACTATTGTATGAACAATGTAAAATTTGGGATACATAGAATGTATTTTAGTAACATGCTGTATGCCCTGTGCTATATGCTGTTTTTGACTTAAGAAAAGCTAAATACAATAGTAGTGGCGTACAAACTGAGTAAATACAAATGTACATATGATCAAGTTTCAAAGAAATCACCAATCCTTAAAAATATTCGAATAATAATATTTTAAGATATCGAATTATTCGCGAGTACTCAAAGTTAAATCACATATCACTACACACGATGACAACCAAGACTTGCAAAAGCAGACGCATGAAAAAATTTCGAATAGTGAAAAGGAAAACTTTATTTTGTCAATAATCAAAACCTCGATCAAAATCCCGTGCCTGATGACAAAGCACGACACACGTATCTTTAGTTATTTAGTTATCGTTATAATTTGGATGACTTTCTGTTATTTGATATTACTATGATTCATTATGTATGTAATGTTAATGCAAAACAACATGATAGACACATTTATTTTCAAGTGTAAGATACAATTATTATAATTGAAAACATTCACCAAATTGCGCATTATGTTAAAAAAGTATAGAAATAATCTACGGAAAAAACTTTTAAATATTTTAAAACGAAAAGTACGCCATGTTTCTCTTAAAACATTTAATTTAACGAACATGGCTGCAATGCAATATTCAAATTGTGCAATGTGATTTAAATATATTATTTAAATTATGAAACATTTTTCAGACATTATTGCGTTATTTACTAGAGTAAATATTACTCTTTGTAATAAACTTTAAATAGATAATATATCAATTTTAAATCTGTGTTGTGTAGTTCCCTCATATTTTTCCGAAATGTTTTATAGGCTGATTGTTTTTTTTCTGTTGACATTATTTTGCTTTTTTTACGTAAATAATATAAAAAAGATGAACTTTTGTACATTCTTTATCTTAAAATGTTGACATTGCAATGTATGTTTTACATAAATTTATCTAATTGCTATACTAAAGAATAATCAAAAAATATTTCAAAGAACATGTAACGACTTTATATGCGCAATGTTTTAGTCATACACTAAGCAAAACATCATTTTCTAACAGAGAGTGTTCATACGATATAACATAAAAGATAATATTATATTTGCCATAACCCTTTCATATGAACATGATGAAAATGGTAATTTCCGTAACAACTAAATATAAGGTTACTCAATTTTATATTGACTCGCTCTTAAATATACTAAGTGAATTCGTTCTTTTATCGGGATTCCAAAAATATCTTTATCTTTTTTGTTTACAAAGAACACATTAATGCAACAGGTTTTCGTTGATTTTTTTTTATAACCGCCTCTCTTGAAATAACATCTTTCAATTATCTTTGCCATTATATGCAACAGAACATGGATCTATTGAACGAGTCTATAAATTTCTTTATCAATCGATTATAAATAATCTGATTATTAGTGAGTTGTCCCATTTGTCGTTTATTGAAAATGCTCAAACCGCCGTTAAATGTTATCCCTCTCATTGACGTGTATTTAAATATAGATGCACAATTATAATATCTAATATGGCTTCAGTTGCAATGTGTCGATGCCCATGGTTAGACAGGAAAGGCATTATCGGGACTATCATCCATTATACATGTTTGGCAGAAAGTTTAGTCATGATGAGCTACGGCAACGGTACATGTTCAATATGACACCATTGATTTCCTTAGTGATGAGCTTATAAGATTTGGAGAGAATCGAAGTAGCGTAGCCGCAAAAAACTGCGTTCACTATTGAGCAACAATTCATGGCTTCCATTCTTGTTTACCAATATGGTAGTGGCCGTCAGTTGCATGAATTTGGAGATACAATGGGTTTTAGCAAATCAACAGTGTCAAGTTTCGTTAACGATGGCTTAATAGCAATGGATTGATTGATTAATTCCAATGTGCTATTTCGTGGTTGTCAGTTTGTATTGATAGAGGAAACCGGAGTGCCAGGAGAGAACCACTGACCTTTGGTAAGAAAACTGACAATCCTAGTTAATTAAGATTGCGGTAGAGCTCAACTGCCACTGATGGGATTCGAACTCATAACTTCAGTGTTGACAGACTAGTGATACAGTAATTCGACTACTTAGACCACTCGGCCAACGAGGTACCGATATCAAAGGAAGAAAAATACATACAAGAGCACAATAATGAACAGAACTATGTCTTATGTCAAATCTGGATTTCAAAATGTGATCGGTCGTCTTCAAACATGTAACGAAGACGAACCTTATATTTTGAAAAAAAGTTTCCTCCACAGTGTTAATATACGGGTTGTTTGTAATCTTCTAGATACGTGTAATTTTGTTTGTTCAAATTTCTGATCGACAGAAAATCTGTTAGTTTGGCATTTTGTTTCCTTGATTAACAAAAGTAACATTAAGAAATACACCTTAAAAATTACTTGTGATGATCGAATATTTACCAATACATTTCAAAGAATAAAAAATATATGGAATTATGAAACAAAAGTAATTTGTAATATACTACATATGTTTGCATGGTGACACTTCAAATAGAAAAATGTGACCACCACATAAATGTATTTAAAAAAAAAAACAATATTCAGGACAGTTCCCCATATAGTACCATATGATCACGTTTTTCTGGAGACTGCCAAATAAGATCATACCCGTAGTACTATTTTAGAATATATTTAGACAACAGTAGTTTACTGATGTCCATATATCATGAACCGATTAAGAAGAAAAATCTTAAGACGTCAAAATGAAAAAAACTGAGGGAATCGCATAAACTCAAAGAGGAGCGAGACTTGGTCTGTCGACAGGGTGAAATTGCAGATTAAACTCCTATTCTAGTAACTTAGGATGTTAGTTTCAATCATTAGTGAGTTGAGGAATATACATATAATATCAGTCAACTAATTCTTTGAATACAAATGTCTCTGGTTTCACTTGTGTTAAACTGATCAAGGTAACTGCAGTTACCACGATCCCAATCTGGCGGAGGTAGAAATAGGTAAAATCGTTTTCTGTCAATTTCTCCGTGTAAACGTGTTGTTTTCGAGAATAACTCAGCCGCCAGGTTGATCTGTACGGTTTTGTTTTGTGTGTGCGTTCTTAATATTGTATATGGCCTCGTTACCAAAATAATAGCCATCGAAAATTGTAGGCAGATAATCGTAACACCATGAAATTTGTTTGATATGATAATCGTAGCTGGACAATCTGGACAATCAATTGTCGATATTTGGACATGAGAATAGTAACTTATCAGTGATAATCGTAACTTTATCTGTTGATCGGGACGGCGACTATAACTAAATCTTGTTTTAAAGTTTGATAATGTGACCAGACTAAAGGAATAATTGGTTATCTTAAACTAATTTACTGTTTTCTTTGTAGATATAGTCTATATATTTTACAAGTTAAAATTTACGGTAAATGTTAATGGTATATTGTATACTTAAAGAAGAAGATATATTCCTGAATTTAAATGATTTTTACAAATAATTTATAACAGCAAATTTCAATCAATATTCGTTTTTGCATACCAGTACTAACTACTGGGCTGGTGATACTCTGTGGGACTTACAGTTCATTAACAGAGATATCGAACGGGGGTAGTTATAAGATTAACAGTACCAATTTACCTGCTCCAGATGTTTATTTCGACAACTCATATTATGTCTCTTCAGCATGTGTTCAGTGAAGCCCGAGTCCAAAAATATTTGAAAATCTAAAACCAAAAACAAACGTTGAAGAGCTTACAAAACCAAAAAGAACCTTAATAAAACCAAACCTGGATAAGGAATAAAAGCTTTGCATGCAGGAGATATATTTCTTAATCTAAAAAAAAAGCAAATTTCAATCAAAACAATATACGTATTTGCATACAAGAAACGACGTACTGGCTACGTGACTGGTGATACCCTCGGTTGCTAACAGTCCACCAGCAGGGGTATCGACCCAGTGGTAGAAATGACATTAATGGTACCAACTGATCTGCACCAGATGCGCTTTCGACTATTAATGGTGATCGTGAAAAAAAATGGATGCACTTGATGGCAGCAGATATAAGATTGATTTATTGATTGTTGGTTGCTTTAGTCTGGTGGCATATATTGCATGCATGTTCAGGACGAGAACAAATTCATAAGATATCGGATTAAAAGTCCCCATTCTGCACGGACGCAGCTGCGTATCTATACATCCCAAACAGCCAAAACGGACGCCCCACTTTGGCTAGGGTTTTACTGCCGGTCGGAAGAATACCAAGAGTGACCATATTTCTATTCCCCAGTCACCATGGGTGGTGGCAGATATAAGAAAGCTAATCAAAAAATAGAATAGAGCATACAAAAAGAATAAGAAAACTGGGGATGAATAAGATGCTACTATAAAAGAATTGAAGAGCAAAACCCAGTGAGAAATAAGAAAGCCGTTTTGAAACACATAGCAGACATAGTAACACAAAATAGTGAAGCTGACAGCAGTACTGACTGCATGAAATGGTTTGGACCTATATAAAGCATAAACAATCAGATGGGAGTAATATACCACAACTATAAGAATAGAATGATTACTACATGACGATTCATCAGACAAAGCTTATAACATAAATGCACAGTTAAAAAAGGCTATCTCGGGTGAAAAAAGACGTTAATGAAACACAAACCTAGACAATTTAGATGCAACATGTCTGGTCAGCACTGAGGGTCAGCATAAAACAGCAACTGCTGCCGGACTGACTAATATTTTTTTACAAGGCATTTGACAAGGTCATCCATAGTCTATTAATC